TCAGGACAGTTATGTCATTTTCTACTTTATGCCCTCTCTTGCCCTGCTGTAAATGGCTTTAAAAATGGGAAATGGAACGAGAATGAGTGGAATGTCCATGTTTTTTTTTTTTTTTTTTTTGTCATGATTACTTTCACATCTTATCTCTCTCCACCTATACCTCTACCAGACATGCCTCTACCAGGTCTATGTGCCCTAAATATAGTCTGACTTTGGATTGCGTGTCTGGATTTCCTGTGAGCTTCAGATCTGGGCTGTAATCTTGTATAGCACTCTTTCTATCTTAAGAACATGTTAAATTAAACTCTCTCTATTTGTAACGGCCCTCATCCTTTTCCTTCTAGTCCCCAGTCCTATATCATGCCTCACTGAGCTTGTTGTCAGAAGAAAATTTGGGCTTTCTTTCATGGGTTGATAGGAAATGTAGACCCTTGAGGTGGAAAGATGAGGCAGTGTAGTTACTGTTGCCATGGTTGACCACATGTTGTGTGTCTTTTCTCCAACATGACATGATGTTTGGGAACCACCAGCTCTCTGAAATGAATAGAGTGGCCATGGGATCAAAGCTTTTCAACCCTTAATGCCTTTACCAGTCACAGTAGCATCCTCACTCGTTCTGTCTCTGTTCCGTTCACTCTTTCTCTCCACTTTTAATTAAATTACTGTAATTTGTGGCAGGAAATTAAATGACAGAGCCTGTTAATGGATAATCTGAAAACCAGTCAAGGTTAGGACACATTGTAAGGTAATGTTTTGTTTACAACTTGGGAAAATAGTTTTTTTTACAGTGTATCTCATGTTCACAAATTGGTCATGATGGTTCAAGGGCTGGGGCTGTTGTCAAGAAGGGACAACCTGGAACAGGACAAATTTTGGCCCTGGTTTCATTAATTTTACTGACAAATCTGCGTCCAGAAATTGACTAGACAGAAAGCAATCATGTCTATTTTCCCATATGTATATTTATAGTTTTGATACTTTTAGCAGCATGTTGTAATTGGTGTGCATTGACAGTTTGCATGATAAAGCATTCTTGGAAAACTAGTGCCCTTAAATTTCTCAAAAAAGCACTGCCTCTAAAGCCATACGCATTAAGATTAAGATTGCATCACATCGTCTGGTGTTTTTTGAGCTTCCCGCCATGAGTGTTGTCAGGTTAAAAACGCACCTTGAACACTGTTCCATTTTGTTTTGCTTCGCCAAGAACACGTCTTATGTAAACGCCTCTAAGAAACACGTCCGATCAGGTTCAGTTTAACCTGAAACTAGCCTTATTATACAGAGCTTCCTTAAGATGATTAGTGGACTAGCCATTTAGACAACGCAATAAACAGTCAGTTTAAAAATATGGACACATCCCTAATATCCACATGGGAAGGAAAGCGTAATGCTCAACTTACATTAAAATCTTTTTCAAAATGCAATGGGAAAAAATTGGCCAGACATCATGTAAAAATTATGTTTTTTATTTATTTTTTATTATATATATTTTTTTACTTTAAATCTTTACACTTTTTTGTTTTACATCTTTTAGATTTTTAATTTTTAAATCTGATTTAAATCAGATTTTTTATTGTTGTAATATTTTATTCACAAGTAGGATGTTTTGAATATTGTGTATATCGACTCCATCCTAGAACAATTGAAACATTTTTCAGCAAATCAGTTCGCAGCCATTTGTATACAGACTTTCTCCTCCTTCGATAGTTAGCTATTTAGATCTGGTCAAATCCGCAAGCACAGAATTCAAAAAAGCTCTGACAGTGTGAATGAACAAATCCTAATATACCAGAACATTTACCGGAACAACTTTTCTGAAATCTCTGTGTAAAAGAGGCTTAAGGTTTCTAGCTGCCACACCTAATGGTGTTGACTGGTGTGTAATTCGCAGCACACATGCAGTCAAAGGTGTTGGGAGGTGGAGAAGAGCGGTAATCCTGTTACCGGGCCAATTGTAATCTGCTTGAAAGTCTGTCGTCTTTATCTCAGTGCTGCCCAAGACAGAGGAAGAAACAGAGACAGTGACTTTATGGAAAACACAGACCAAAACTCTGGGCTGGATTAATCGTTACAGAGGTTATAGTTAAAGGGATAGTTCACCCCAAAATGAAAATTCTGTCAGGAATTACTCACCCTCATGTTGTTCCAACCCGTAAGACTTTCGTTCATCTTCGGAACACAAATTATTTTTAAACAAGATATTTTTGATTGAATCTGAGAGCTGGATCATTCCTCCATAGGCTTCTAAGTCGAAACTTGCCGGCCCAGAAAAGTTAAAGACATCGTTAAAATAGTCCAAGTGACTACAGTGGCTCAATCTTAAGTTTATCAAGCGACGAGAATACTTTTTGTGCGCAAAAAACAAACAAAAATAATGACTGTATTCAACTATTCATTTCCTTCTCTGTGGGCCTCGAGATAGTTCACGCACTGTAACTGCGCAGCGCTTCTGTGTTGTACGTCACACGCATCACACACATGACCAGCGTTGGCCAATAGTGAGCCTACGTGTGACGTACAATCCAGAAGCTCTGCGCTGTTACACTACATGAACTATCTCTATCAAAATTGTGAGAGAAAAAGTCACAATTACCTTTTTTATTTTTTATTCTTTGGTGGAAAAAAGCTTCCCAAGAACTCTATTGGTTTCATACTGAAGAAGAAATTCTTGAAAAGAAAACCTTATATTAAAGAAAAAAAAAAAAAAACGTCTGCAAAGTCATTTGGTGCAACCAACATGCAGAAAAAACAGGAAATGACCCTCATGACTTCAAGTCAAGGTCAGCAAATCTCCAAAATAGTCAGATCTTTTGACTTTTAAATGGCAAGGCAATGTCATGTGGTGCAACTCCAATATGTAATATTAATGCATGGTCACACTTTAGATTAGGGTCCAATTCTTACTATTAACTGTTACTTTTGCCTCAATAATCTCCTAATTACTGCTTTTTAACAGTTAGTAAGGTAGTTTAGTTTAGGTTTGGGTAGGATTAAGGGATGTAGAATATGATCATGCAGAATAAGGAACTAATATGTGCTTTATAGGTACAAATAAAAAGCCAATATCCTATTAATATGCATGCTAATAAGCAACTAGTAAATACAAAGAACTGGACACTAGGGGTGTCACGATTCTCCAAATCCTCGATTCGATTACATTTTCGATTCTAAGGTCACGGTTCGATTCGATTCTTGATTTTTACATTTATTTTTTTAAAGCCGAAACCGGCCAATCAGGATGCTCTCTGTCTTACATGCGCTTCATGAGGCACACACGCAAGGTCTCTCGCTCTCTCCCTCTCTGCCGTGGGCGCGCTATACAGTTTGGAGCACAGTTTTTTCTGTCTCTCATGCTCGCTCACTCTAGATTCCGGGAGTTTTAATTAATTTGCAGGCATCAGGGAGCTGCTATCAATATGCGGGAGAATTGGGATGTCTGCAAACTGTGGCTTTTTTGAAGCGCGAACGTTGTCAACATAACTCACTGGAAATCCAAAAAACTTCCAGCACTTCAACACGCGTGTTTTTTCGGCTTGGCACGCCGACCGGACGTGACATGGGGGCGTGGCAGCATCGACGATTCGATTTTTTAATTCGATGTTCGAGATTGTGAATTAATTTAGATCGATTTCGATTTAAAATCAAAATCGTGACACCCTTACTGGACACTAAACTAAAGTGTTACCTAATAAAATTAAAACTTAAAAATCTTTAAAAACCTTTTTTTACATGAATGATTTTATTCAATGATTACACAACGCATGAGGCATTAAATGTAAACTTTCTTGAAAATGGTATGGAAGTTTTTCAAAACCATTATGAAAGTGTTATACGTTTTTCTAAACCATATAAAACCAATGTGAATACAAAGAGTATATTCTTAGAACTTGGCTATTTGTTTTTAAATCAATTTTGTGTTTTCTTTATCGTAGATACTCTATTTTGTCATTGGCCCAAATTGTATCCCATACCCCATATCATTTTAGCTAAATCAGTTGTCCCCAGCATGTGTTTTCATAGCGATGCAAATCAAAACTAGTAGGATTCCAAAGATCTTACAGGTGGGGACAGAGACTTTCAGCAAAGACCCCTTTGGTATTCTAAACGTGCTGGCAAAAGTAAACTCCACTTGGTGCCAACGCATGAAGGATATTCTTACCTGTCCCTGGGGCTGGAAGTGGCTCAATAAGCCAGACTGGGGCTTAAAGGCCTGATCTGGGGCTGGGGGGAGTCAACTGGGAACAGTGCGTGTAATTAGCATGTTAGAGTCGCGGGTGACCCGGGCTCACACGTTGATTGACAGTTCACGCTGCTGCCCAGCAACAGCCCCCTGGGAGGTTTCAAATCCCATCGCTGGGCTGTAATTGAGTGTCAACAAACAGACAGGCCTCCAACGGAGCAGATCTCTGAACACTGCTGCATATCTCCAAATGGCGTGGATGGGCTTCTCACAGCACTTCTATAAATCAGTTAGCCTGAATGCCTTGAATAAGAGTGTGTTATAGTTATGACAAGTTCTTTTGATTCCTCAGATATTAAAATGAACGTGACACATTTTGAAATGACGTTCTGACAAAACGTGCCCAATAATGAAGGTAGTTTAGAAACATGACAGCATAATGACTTTAAGCTTTAATGGCACCTAGTGTTTAACAGTATCTGTGTCAAATAATTGATTTTAAGTTGAAATATGAATCATAACTGCTTGAATGTGGTTAGTCACAGTTTATGAATCCGTGTGATGTTATGAATATACAAATGATGGTGCATTCCTGTGATGCACATAGCTTACATGTCAAGGCTCAGCATTATATCAGCCTGATGTCATGCATATCAAATGCATCAGTATTACTGATGGTTTACTTGAATATGTATTTATGATTGCACTTGGATGTAATGTTGTTTCATCATAGTTATATATTTTAAGAAAGAACTTTGATACTTGTTTGCATATGAATATTTCTTTTAATCTGTCTTTTTCCATTTTGTTTCTCTCTCAGCTCGATGACTGTGCTTTACAGTTATCTCATAATGGCAGTTATCTGGACCTGGAATCCACCTTGGCCGAGCAGAGAGATGAACTGGAAGGCTTTCAGGAGGATGGAGGGTAAGCAACAACGAAAAAAGAAAAAGAACATTGTCATTATTTACTTACGGTAATGTTGTTACAAACCTGTATGACTTTCCTCTGTGGAACAAAAAATAGATATTTTCTTCAGTTTTTGAAAACCATATGTAACCAACATGGATACAAAGAGTACATTTCTAAAATTTGGCATATGTGTTTTAAATTCAAAGAATTTTAAATAGTATTTTGTGTTTTCTTTATCGTCATTGAGGCAAATATGTTTGGCCCAAATTTGATCCCATACCCCACATTTAGGCTTGACACTTAGGAATATAATTAAATAGACTTGTCAGTGAACAATGGCTTAGATTTCAGTCTGTGGTGTTTTGATGTAATTTTGGCGCTTAAGGGCTGCATTAAGTTTCTTGCTTTATTTTCCATGGGAAAAATATCAGCATACTGGTATGGAAACGACATGAGGGTGAATAAATAATTACAGATTTTTTTTTTTTTGGCTAAGTATTCCTTTAAATATTTACCCCATGTTCTGATTTCCGAATTGTCAAAAACAAGCAAACAAGCTACTCACACTTAAAGCATTTGTGTGTTTTCATATATAAGTTTAAAATTAGACATTAAATACATGTTTGCTGTATACTGACAATCACTTTGTTAGTTTGAATAACTTCTAATACTGAAGTGTCTGATGATGATCCATGACCCTGGTTTCTTTTTTGCTGTCTTATACAGTCCAGATTGCAATCATCAGTTTGAGCAATCATTTCTCCTGGTGTCCCTTTATTGACCTTGAGAGAGTTTTTGCTTTGTAGTAGATTGGACGACCAATGGATGGATGAGTTATTCAAATCCCCTTAAAAACTTTCATTATTGTCTTTGAATAGGTTATTTCACATTTTGTTACATTGGATACAACTAGAAGCACAATCTAGTCATGTGTATTCCATAAAACATTCCGTCTAAAGCTATCAGAAAGACCTTAAAATCTCACAGCACATGTTCTTTTGTCTTGAGCACATACCACAGTCGTTCTGTGACAGGCCTCTATTCAGTGAGCCCTCAAAATACCTGACTGGTTGGCAAGGGCACAGATGATGTCAGCCTCCGGTTTTAAGAAAATTGGCCTGATTCAGAGTTAATTGTCTTGGGTTGAGCAAAGTCCAAGAGTAGATGCTTCTTTTAAAATTAATCATGGTTTAAAAGATTATTTATCCCCTAGAATCTTTTTAGATTGCAGTTTTAAATCCATGGCATTAGTATGGAAGCCTGTTTCCACCACTTTATTTCTTGTATTTGTGACATATCACATCACACAATGTTACTTTTATATCTCACAAGCGACTATTACTCATAATTGCAACTTTATCTCTCACAACGTGACTTGACTTTATATTTTAAAACTGTGACTATTTCTCATAACTACGACTTTATCACTCAATGTGGATTTATATCTCACATTAATGACTTTTTCGCATAATTATGACTATATCTCACAATGCTAGTTTTATATCTCACAATTGACTTTATTTCTCATAATTGCAACTTTATATCTCACAATTGTTATTTTAATCGCTTAATGTCAGTTTTTATATCTCGCAATTCACTTGCAACTTTATCTCTTGCAATGTGGCTTTGTGTGTCACAGTTGTGACTGTCTTGTAATTGTGACTATCTCACAATGCTAGTTTTATATCTCACAATTGACTTTACTTATCATAATAGGAATTTTGTATAACACAATGTGATTATCTCACAATGTCACTTTATAACTTGCGGTGTGACTTTATTTCTTGTAATTTTGACTTTTTGAACTTTATCCCACCATTACCTTTTTATTTTTTAATCCGAGGCAAAAGCGAGGTGCCATAAATTAATGCTAACGGTGTGCCTGAACTCTCGTGTCAGATGAATCTGATATTGGTGCAAACTCATGTAAACACACCAAATAAAACAAACAAGTTTTTCTTTTACCTCAATGAGTAGCTTTTGACTCACGGTTTTATTAGATGACACTGCTATCTTTTCTAGCCACCGAGTTGACATAGCCTACAGAAACTGCCAAATGCCATTGCTTGAATGCTAGATTTTAATTTGAGGCTGTTATTGGACAAGGCCACAAATATTTAGGGATGTATTTGTGTAAATTTGGAGGCATTCATTTCCACTGGATTGGGCTCAAATTCAAAATATAGTTTGACAGTATAAGACAGTAAGTGAATGGATGTCTTTTGGAAGAGTGAGAGGCTGAAGGGCCACTTCTTTTGGTCTCTGAGCGATGAATGGTAGTGCCAACTGGCAAGCTGTTTCTCTCTTCTTTCTGTCTGTGTTCAGGACCCCCCCCCCCCCCCCCCTCCCCCCCAAAGAGGCTATCAAGGGTGTGCATTATTAGACCCATGCAGAGTGTCTGAGTGGGCTGTGGAAAGCAGGAATGGAGGACTACATTACTGTTAATAACAGGGTAATTCAGCACAGTGGGCTTTTATGGCCTGGATGGGCTGGAGTTCACAGCCCCCTCCATTTACTGAAGTTGTGCTTTATTACGGGGTCTAAAAACCTTGGCCGAAGTACGTGATTAAACCAAACTCAATCTCCTCCTCCTTCCCTCTTTTGTGGTTTTTCTATCTTGCTTTATGTGATGTCTCTGACCTACATTTCATCAATTGCTGAAAACACAAAAAGTAGGCTAATTGCCTCGAGGAATAATTTGAGGTTCCTTCGTTGCTTCTTCATTGTTGCTACTGTATCTTCTTACTGTTTACATAAGGCCTGGGACGAATTATCAGGCTTTTCTTAATTCTCAAGTATTCATTTTCCCCTTCTTTTGGCTTTCAGTTCTTTTCAAACTGAGATTAACTGTTCTAACAACTGCAACAGTACATTTACTCCATTGCTTTGATGCACATTGTTAGATAACGTCATCATATAAAAATGTGATTTTGCATGCGACTTATTCTCGTTGCTTATCCATGTCCTTGAAGATTTCTTTCTCAATGTTGAACCTGGAGGCCTGTGATGGGATTCCAAAGGGACAATCAGAAATGGATACAGATTACAAGTTGCATTCCACAGGTGCCTCAGTCATATGAAGTCACTTTGCTCTCTGATTGAGGAATGATCCTCTAACGCCTAATTTTGTAAGGTTTCATAGTGGCTTAATCGTCCTAATCATTACCACACCACCTCATGCAGAAAAAGCTGTCAGACTCTGAAACAGGGCCCCGGATTTAATCCCACTCGCTGTTAGCGCGGACCCTCTTCTGGCAAACCACCAACAAAATTTTCTCACACCAGGGCTCAACTGTTTTGTGGCCCAGTCTTGCCAATTTTTTTATTGGCCCCTCCACAAAAAATATTAATATTATTTTTTAAATATATTTAAAAAAAATATATTTTTTCATTAAAAACAGATATACATTTGTAAAAATATTTTAGATTTTTTTTTTGTTTAATTTATTTTAAATAAAATATTTATTTTTTGCAAAATATTTGAATCAAACGGCTCAAAACTCTGAACGCTTTTACTCCTAAAATAACTGTTGACATCAATGAATAAATGTGTCTGAAATCTCGCTTCTTTATATGTGAATACCTCGCCTATTCTCTCTGTCTCCCTCTCTTGCTTTCTCTGCCCACTTATATTTTTCTTGAACTCATTTTTTTTCCTGGCCGATGTGCCGGAGGAGCTTTCGTCGGGCTCGGTTAGCCTCTGGCCCTGGAGAAACGCCTAGTTCCTTTTAATGGGAACGCTTCAAATATTTGTGCGGATTATATGGATAGAGGGGTAGGAGGCTGCTCAGCTGGACCACTGGATTTTTCCCCTTATTGCTGAATTAAATGGCAGGCAGAGGAAGTGAGGTCGAAGGTGTGGAAACATTGAGGTGCCGTGTATGTGTTTCTATGTTCCCGGTCTTTTGAGAACCTTATAGATTGGCAGGTGATCATTAGGGATGCACCATATCGGTATCGGCCGATATATGTTAATTTTTTATGTTATCTGAGACACTTCAGATACACAGTCTGTTCCCCATGATGGTTTTGAATTGCTTGAAATATGATTGGAATCACTTAAAAAAAAAAGAAAATACAGTTAAGTGCAACATGCAAATCTGTCATATAAGCTACATAAAATTATTATGAGAACATCATTATAATTGTGTGCTTGGGTCATGGATTTTAATGGTGAGACTTGTTTTTGTAATCAGGCTCTTAAAAATTATCTAAAAAATTGGATTTAGATTTATCGGCCAATATATCGGTTATCGGCTTTCAGATAAAAATAATTATCAGTTATCGGTATCGTCCAAAATGTTCATGTCACTGCATCCCTAGTGATAATCCATTAGCAGATTTTTACATATTTAGGATGCTTCCAGCTACACATAGGCTACAGTTTATATGAATAAAATATAAAAACACATTGCAGTGTGTAATTCCACCACCACTAGTGGCACGAAATGGAACTGCAGAAATAATTGTTTTCTAACAGGTTTCCAGGGTTTTCTGTGTTGATTTGAACTTTGTAACAAATTCATCTCTGGTATACGTCACAATGATTATTTAGCGTTTTCTAGGAACATTTTGTTAAAACTTGTAATTGACCTGGAAGAATATCAACTAAAATAAATATTTATCTAAACTAAACTTTATATAAACTATAAAAGTAATCCGTAATGTTTTACTTTTTTGTAAAGTATATTTACCATTAAATTTTTTCTAAAATCTTTAGTTTTGCGAACAACTGATTTGTCATTAACTGATTAATTGTATAGGTCTGATATGAACTCTCAAAGAGTTCTAGGTCGTACAGGTATGCCAAGATTTTCATTGACATACGGATCACATGATACTTCCATGGTGCTTTTTGTGTCCTTTTAGAAACTTTAGTCATTAATTGTAATTGCATAGAAAAGAGCATGGAAAAAGGTCTTCAAATTTTCCCATTTTGATTTCCATTGAAGAAAGAATGACACAAGAGCAAGGAAATTATTTCAAATTTTTTTTTTTTTTTTTGTGAACTTGAG